TATATATATATATATATATATATATATATAATTATTTATTTAAAAATATGATTCCAACACACTACATAAGAGTTCTCATGTTTCAAAACAAGAGCTATATATACAAGTACGTGATGAAGAGAGACGAGATGATGATGAGAAAATAGTAACTCAACTCTTCGGAAGGTGATCTGATCTCGTGCCAAAAAGTCTCTTTCAGTTTTTTACTGCCAATTCCTCCATCCATCTCCGCCGCAAACGCGCACAGGTGTCCGGTCAGGCATGCATCGACAACGACATTCTCTGAGAATTCATTAACACCGCTCGGTGCCACATAATTTACACGGATGCTAATAAACGAGCAGTTTCTCCGATGTTCCCTCTACACTGTTATGAACAACCGAATATCTTACTAGTATTTTTTTTATGTTGATACCTCTTTGAAGGAATATATTTGTGGAGATGCCGAAAATTGAACCCCGGGTCTTTTGCATGCAAGCGTGCGTGTAATGTTAAGTTTATCGCCATGGAAAGTGGACTCAGCCTTCTGAGTTCAAATTCTGACTGCGTCTGTTTCATTATAATCTTCAAAAAGCCATGATTCCTACTTCAGTTATAGTTTAAAAAGCAAAACAGACTGAACTCTCTTGCCTTGGGTGGAAGCCAGTCTAGGAGAAAGAAAGCTGTGTATTCAAACCCATAAGCCCGTAAAGCAGACTAGGCTTGATTGGTTGCCAAACTAATACTGAAGAAATCGAAACCTCTGAATTCAAACCCCTGAAATGTATAAAGCAGACAAGGCTGAATTGGTGCTATAACAATGCTAAAGAGAAAGAATGCACTGGATTCAAATCCTCGTAAATAATAAGGAAAACTGGGCTTAGTATGACAACCAATCTAGGAGAAGGAAACCCTTTCACAACCAGCCCGAAGAGAGATGGGCTCCGTCAAGATGTGTTGCCCTAAATACACCCTTTCCTGCTATGACTCTAGTACATTTAGGACATCAAGGACCCGAATGAGTTAAATGATTTATGGCCGTGTAACTGTTAAGAAAAAGATTATGTGATAAATATTCAGTCTCTATGGAATTTCTTTCTCTTATGTTGAACTTGCGCCGATATTGCTGTGGCAATACGAAAATGCACAAATTTTGGAGTTATTCGCACTTACAAATACTTTTACTGAGAATCTGGGAAACTTTATTCAAAATGTATGGGGTTTTATTCAAAACATAACGTATTGCATATGAATGAGCGATCGGGGTGTCTTATATGTCATGTGTTACAGTTTTACGGGGTTAGGCTAGGTACAAATACTGGTAGTCAGTGACTTTTGATGTTCAATATTGCCTAAAATTGCGTGAAAAAGATACTTAATATTGGATAACAGTATAAAAACATATAGTTTAAAATAATATACAGTGTATTATGAGACAAATACGATATGCAAACTCTACATATCAGAATAATGTTGGGTAATTGAATGACTCGAACCTGCATCCTATACGGAACCGTCATTTACGCTGACGTGCCTTACCATCGGCCATAAAGGAGCGTTCATGGAAGATTGAAGTTTATAAGCAGTAAATTCGACCTTGCCTACCGAACGCTCCTTTGTGGCCGATTGGTAAGGCACGTCAGCGTAAATGACGGTTCCGTATAGGATGCAGGTTCGAATCCTGTCAAAGGACCAATATTTTCTATGAAAATTTCTCGGACATTCAGGCCGGTAAATGTTATTTAATACTGTTTATTATAAACAGAGCATTTACTTAAATACTTGTATCTAAGAAAAAGAAAAAAGAACGTTAAACATAAAAATGTCTTTAATAAAATATATATATAGCTTTCTTTAAATACAGCGTCTTGTTTCACAAAAATATATCAAGATCAACGGTCTTTCAGTGTTCTTTAGTCAAGACTAATTGATATGAAATTATTTCTATACTAATAAAACATGATTATTGTCTCTTTTAAACAAATAAGCCAAAAGAGCAATAATCTGTGATCAAAAATAAATAAATAAAACATAAAATATGTTGTTACTGGTTTATCTACATTTATAAGCTTACTGATTGAAAATATAAGAAATTTGTCGGTCTTTATTCAAACTCTATATACCTTGATTCGAAAGATAATTACTTTTATTTATTCCAATCCCAAGTACTTCTTTTTTCTAAGAAAGACTGTATCCGAAGGATACTCAGCTGTAAATTCAACTCAAAAGCAGTTCGAAGAAGACAGCAGTCCACTGTAATAAAATTTGTGTGGGCACCACGCTGTAAAAGAGAGCCTATTATTTCTATCGTGAGTTTGATCTTTACTGAATGTTGCACACTTGTGATTTTGTATCAGTATAAGTAATTAAGTAAATCTGTGTTTAGCATTTCGCCGTGGTTGAGCTTAACAATTTTGTCATGTAGGCCATTACTACCGTAGTGAGTTTGATCAAATTGGGTGCCTATGACATTGTGCCAATCTAAGCTTAATGCATAACAATTTTTGGGATGTGTCGTAATGAGTTCGATCGTCACTGAGTGCTTTATACCCACGTTCTTGTACACATCGATCCTTACTCAGCGTTCAGCTCCGTTCTGTCGAGAGGTGTCAGAAAAGTTCCCACAGGGTTAACTGGTTTGTGGAAGCCAATCGTTCGTAGCGACGTCGCTTTTTGATTATTCGATGTCGGCTCTTCCTATCATTGCGAAGCCGAACTCGCCAAGCGTTGGATTGTTCTCCCACTGACAGGGAACGTGAGCTGGGTTTAGACCGTCGTGAGACAGGTTAGTTTTATCCCACCGATCGACACGTGTGTTATGTCGGTTGTTGTCACGGCTATCCCGTCCAGTACGAGAGGAACCGCGGGTTTGGAGCAAGAGGAAACTAAATAAATACGAATAAAGAACTGTTAATTCTTGTTAAATTATTTAATCTAGTTTCATAATTTGCTACTGTACAAATTGGCTTTAAAGAATCTCACCTGTAAGTTTATTACAGTTTATTTTTATAAATATCTACGATTCCATGATTATGATCTGGTATATAAATCTTAGACACAATTTTACGCTCCATTTTCTTTACTTACCAACCTGGAAGAAATTTGTTAAATCGCTTATAGTAACCGACTTGTTTTTTATATAACGTTTGATCTCTCAAAATGGACATTGATGGTTTATTCATTATTTTGTAGGCTAAAGTTTTGATTGTCAGTTTCTGGCCACCAACAGTGTCCAAATTATAAACCGCCATTGCTTACGTCATCGAAATGCGTAAAAAATATGAAACGAGAATATCAAATGTTCGTTTTAATCTCGTATACCTTAGGGTTCGTTTACTGATATATCCTCAAGTAAAAGGAGAAAGATATATTTATAATGGCGTTACCAACACTTAATATATTACAACTTTTCTCTCACTTTTACTTCATTTTTCTCTCAGACTCTTTTTAGGGGTTTCATTTCTTTGTTATAATTTCTTTCATATTTACATACCTTTTTTTTTACTTATTTTTTTTTTTTTTTGCTCACTTCTGTCTTTTTCTTTTCCCCTATTTACTTTCACAGCAACATTTGTCTGTGGTTATTTATTTCATTTTGAACAACAAAAAAAAAAGCATGCAAAATTATTTCTTATCTTGAGATCGAATCTATGTTACGTACGAAAGAACGGACACATTATCTTGAGTACCAAATCAATAATCTGATAGTTGTATCACTTCTAGTCGCAGCAACAGAAGGTGAAATAACATGATATTGTTATTGAATACGATAGCGTGCTTTTCAAGTCTTACAGATTTCATGTAATTTCCTAACATGCATTTCGCATGCATAGAGCATGTGCAGTGAGAACGAGATTGCAATTCAGAGTCCCGCCTCATCCATCATAACTGCAAGTACAAATTTAAAGTGCATGAGAAGACTTTCGAAAACAATAATTAAGACTTCGTTTAAAATAGGATATTATTTTTTCACATTTTATAGGATACTATTTTAAGATATTATTTTTAAGATATAAGTTTTGTTGAAATCGGTTGAGAAATGTAGGAAATCCGATCCCATATATAAACGAACACACACACACACACACACACACACACACACACACACACAAACAACCTGGGTTTTTATCAGTATAACTCGATATGAGTTGTCCCCGTTTCATTCTGGCGACAGGATCGTGTTTTCAAATTCATTTCGTGCAAAAACAATTGTGTTTTTCCAATTTTTGGCGCTGTCAGAACCACCGCAATGTAATTTTATGCAGACCTGTGAAGTTTTGTTGAAATCGGTTGAAAAATGTAGGAAATCCGATCCAATGTATAAACGTACAGACACAGACACACACACAATCTGCGTTTTATAATAAATAAGATGCTGCAAATTCAAGGCAATAACTAAGCAAATAGAGTTAAGATAATTTGACAGTCACATGACATATTGTAATCAATATATACATTTCACAAAAAAATAAGTTAACCAACTAAAACAATTTATTTAACTGGTTTAGCAACATAAAAGAATAAATTTACACTTTTAATGAGATGAATACACTTGGCGCAGAGATCTCATTTTGTCAACAACAGGCTAGAAAGCACCGAGAAGAAGTCTTAGATCCCAACGTCCAATAAATCTCAGTCTGTCTCTTTGTTTGGAAAAAAAATGGATGACTGCACTGAAACTCCGCTCTACTAAATATCCGAAATGAGTGGCACATAAATGAAGCCGAGAAGAAAGAAATATCGATTGATTCATTCATTCGTTTTCTACGGCTTACCAACCTTTTGTAGCTTATTTAAAGCCAAAAAATATTTTTAGGTTATGAAAATTTTGGGAGTGATAATAGTGGTTTAGTGATACAAATTTTACTAATTAATCCATTGCTCGGGAGAAAAGGTAGATTCATACCTTTCCCAAAGTTATGCGTGCGTAAGTGAATATAATGAACACAACGGGAATTTGAACTTTGCTCTACGATTAACAATTCCGGGCCATTATCCATTACACCACGCGCTCATCCAAGCTTACAACATCTGATATTCCCAAGAGGTCACCCATCTAGGTACTAACCAGACTCGACGTTGCTTAACTTCGATGATCGTACTGGAACCGGTGTTTCAACATGATGTGGCCGTAAACAGAAAGAAGGAAAAGAAAGAAATGTAGAATGAAGAGCGAAATGTAAGAAAAATACGATCTTCTAAAGAAATGAAATTGTTTGATAATTGCAATTAAATGTAAAGATAAAAATGAAGGAAGTGTCTTTTAAAAGAAACAAAGATTAGTAAAATGTTAGTAAGAAAGAAAGAAAGAAAGAAAGAAAGAAAGAAAGAAAGAAAGAAAGAAAAAAAGAAAAAAGAAAGAAAAAAGAAAAAAAGAAAGAAAGAAAGAAAAAAAAAAAGAAAAAAGAAAAAAAGAAAGAAAGAAAGAAAGAAAAAAAGAAAGAAAGAAAGAAAGAAAGAAATTCGAATAAAGTGACGAAGAATGAAAATACGAAAAAAAAAAACAAACGAAAAAGTAAGGAATAAAAAATAAATAAAAACATTTTATGAAATAACAAATCAGAAATGAATAAAACTAATAAAAGAAAATAAAGGAATGAAAAATAAAATCTGAATAAAAGTCTATAAAAGAATATAAAACAAATAAAAGAAAAAATGAACATGGAAAATCGTTTAGCGCGAAAGAAAAAAAAAAAGAACGATCAAAGTTGTGACTTTTAATTTCGGAATGTAAACAATCTAAGGTTTTGTGCAAAGCGTAAGTCTATCAAGAGGAGAGGCAGATATTAGAGGAAAACCAGACTTCCCATTTGTATTCAGTCTAAATTGCCAGTAAGGAAATCTGAAGTGTTAACAGGAGCAGAACTCACAAAGAGTCGCAAACGTTGTGAACTCGAAACTGGGACTTTTAAAACTACATTTTAAAAAAAATGGCAAGGACTTAGATACAACTGTAAGTACAGACCTAATTATAACTGAGTAAATTAGAAACAGAGAAAAGAGTATTAAACTGTTACGTGATATCTGTCCGGGTCACCTCGGCATGGTGTAATGGTTAGCAAGCTTGTCTCGCTAAAACTGTTATGACTGAATAGTGAGTTCGATCCTCATTGGGAGCCCCCGTGCTTTCGGCCTTGTGCCATATCTAAGCAACGCTTAGAAAATCAATACGTGATATATGTCCCCCTGTATAGCAACGAATGTTGAACAATCTCTTCAAAGATAAAGAAGAGACTTGAAGCAAAAGAAATGTGGTTCTACAGAAGGATACTGTGGATACTATGGGAAGAACAATGACGAGGTTTTGGAGAAAATGGAAACAAAAAGGAAATTTACCTGGCTTATGCCAGAGGGTATCCCCCAGACGAGGCTTTGATGAAGTGCAGAATCTAGTCTCGGGAAACTGACTCGGATATCCCACTTTAAAACTCGGCCTTGTGTCACATCTTTCTACGTAGTATAATTATACTTAAAATCCGGAAGAGGCAGTTGAAGTTTCTGGTCAACGTGATGAGGAAGGAGGACTTGAAAAATGTGATACTCACGGGGTTGATTGAGGAGAAGAGGGACAGAAGAAAGCATCGCGTAATATACTTGATCAGCTTGGGTAAATGGATGATAGAACAAGGTTTGGGAGAAATAACAAAAAGACAAAACTTATTAAGGGACACGGCACATAAAAGAAAAAAGGAATCTTGCAAAATCTTTATTAATCTGAGGTAGATTAAAGAAAGATAGAAATGGTAACAAGAGAGTTGAGAATAAAAAAGACAGTGAAAAAGAGAAGGTAAAGGAGATGGCAAAAGGAAGAGAAATAATGACGAAGAGAAGGAGAAAAAGAAATATTGACAAGGAGGATAAGATATGATGACGTGTAGAGGAAGATCTACAGTAAGTAAAGACCCAGTGAAAAAAAAGTAAAGGGAGAGAAGGAGTGAGGAGAGTGGGCAGAAGAACGAGAAGGTGAGATATAAAAGAAGACGAAAGAAAGTGATAGAGAGATGGTGCGAGCAAAGAGGTAATAAAATAAAGAAACTGACGGGAAGTAGGCTAAAATAAGAAAGAGATATAGAAAGAGAGGCGAAAAAATAGAGCTGACAACAAGACTTGAGAGCGAAAAAGATCGCTATGTAGAAGACGAGAAATGAGCGAGCGAGAGAGAAAGAGAGTGGGGGAATACAATTGGCAAGAGAATGAGGAGAGATGAAGCAGGGATTTATATTTCTGACAATCTGGTCTTTACAAGTCTAAATATAGAATTGCCTCCCACACATATATTTATTTACAGGGTGCGATGGGTAAATTGTCGCCGCCTTATATTTTTAATTTCGCGCATGCGCGTTGTTTGTTTTTGATTTTGTCGACTGCACAGTAGAATAGGATCAGTTGGGCACTGTCTTTGAGAAAAAGAGCACCATGACGCAATTCACACAGCCAGAAATTTGGAATCGGCAAATGCTGTACTGTTTGGCATTCGCGTCGGAAGCTCAGATACGAACATTTCAGAGTGTTTGAGTGTCAATCTGAGGTCAGTGCAGAGGATTCGGAAAGAGTTGGATGAGCCTAATGGTGATGATGAAGGTACGACAGCTCGGAAAACTCACTCTGATTGTTCTGATAAGAAAAGAACACCCGAATTTGCTGGTGAGGGACTCAGACTTAACACCGAGGCCTACATCAAGTGTCTTGTGGGAGGTAGTGCTGCTCTGAGTCAATTGGGCGGCTTCTGAAAGACCCTATATCTGGCAACAGAACTCTACACCATGTCCTACAAGCAGGTGAACCCAGTCGTGGCTGTCAAACAACTTCTGCGACTACATTACCTCTTACACATGTCCACCTAACTCCCCAGACTGCAACTTCCTTGATTATTATGTGTGGGGCGCAGTTGAACGAGAGACCAACAAAAACTCCTTGTAACACCAAAGATGAACTGAAGGCAAGTATTATGGCAGCGTTCACCGACTTAAACAACGAAGCCGCCTAAAAGATTTACAAGAGATACCGAAGTCATCTGGAGGCCGTAGTTGAAGGCAATAGCGATTTTATTGAATAAATATACTTTTTAGTATTTCAAGATATTTTTGTGTAATTTTGGTAAATATATCTATTAAAATGAGTTGTCAAGGTTACCATGTATCATTTATACGACAATTTATCCATCGCCCCCTGTATAATATATGTATGGGTGGCGTAAAAATTATCGGCACAAAAATGGAATCGGCAACGCAAGTTAAAATTTTGGTCGAGACTATTGCTTTCGTTTCGCGTTAATGCCCTTGGGAAAGACATGAACCAATTTCTTCTGCCCCCCCACTTTTGGGTTAAATATTAGGCCAGACTGTGCTCTGTAGATTCTAAAGAGAAACTAGTCTAGTTGAAGTAAAACTCTGAATTCATATCCTCTGACAGTACATCATAGAATAGTATGAAAGGGTAAGGCTCATTACACTTCATTACTTACAGAACTTGGAGAAGTCCCGAATCTTCCATTGAAATAAACAAAAACGAGATGATATATATATTAAAAAGGATAGAAATTCTAGGCTTATTGTGAAATACTAGGCTTCTTACCTCTTACTGCTCATACAACAAACTTCTTCAGTAACCCTCTACCTCGAGTGGCTCTTGGATCTTGTATAGGCTGAACATTATTTTTAAAAAATGAAAACGTCTATATAATCACGTCTTTGTTGCCTCATCTTTGTTATGACTTCCATATCTGTAATGAGAATGTCGACCATCCACTGCCATATAGTAACATTGATATTACATAGCAGGTCAGTGTTCTTTTCTATGTTTCTAACGATTTTTTTTTTCATTCTTAATACTTTATTTAATTTTTAAATTTAACTTTATTTAATTTTTGGAAGGCTTTTTTCTAAGTGCGAATTAGTTTCCGCAAAACCCGGCTGCTGAGGATGAAAAAAAATATCGAGTCTAAATTCCAATCGAACCCGTTGCGTTCATTTTCGCAGAATTACCTTTGGAAATTATATGAATTCATCACTTGTCTTCCTTGTTACGGGTTGAATAGCCGGGCCAAGATTGTTTGCTACCTTTGATTGACAGGACGACTTTGAATTCAATTTATGCGTTGATTTAGTGGTGACTACGAGAAAAAATAGTGTTTTGTAGCTGAAAATTGATCTGCTTAAATATGTTAATGTACCACTTCCTTCTATCTGTTGTAGTTTTCATGGAAATTACGATTAGTCGGTTTATTTTTTTAGTGGCATACCAACTCTTATGGTTTAGTTTAATGCCGAAATCTAAACATTTTGTACGAGATTAGACTGTAAGAATTTTCTTATGATAATAATGGTTTAGTGTTCAGGTCTTACTAATTAACCCATACCTGGGTGATAAGGGATGGATTCAATTTTTCCCAAGGGTACTTGCGTGAAAGTGAATATAACAAACACAATAGGAATTGGTACTCGGTTCCCCGATTAACAATTCGGAGCCATTATCCATTACACCACCCGCACATCCAAGCTTACAACACCTGGTATTCTTCTTCGGTCACCCATTTAAGTACTGAGCAGTCTCGACGTTACTTAACTTCGGTGATCGTACGGAACCGGTGTTTCAACATGATGTGGCTGGAAATTACTCGGCATTAATTTCAGAACCCCCCTTTTATATGTGGGTGGGGTTCACTGTCGACATAGGTCAAATCTAGGACTATATATAGACTTAATGGCCCATTTGTAAATCAAATATTGATTTTTCACTAACCTTTTGAACTTTATTCCATATCTGCATCGATTCAAGTTATGTTTTGTTGAATATTGCCGATTTTTCATATTTTTAGGCATACCACTTTAGCTGGCTCGTAGCGTGCTGAATCCCTATGCTTGAAAATATGTAACGAAAGGTTTGTAAGTTGTTCCATTAAAAAAGATATAAAAAAGAGACATATTAGAGGCCATGAAATTTCTGGGAGGAAATGAAAAAAAAAATAGTCAATTTTCAAAATTGAAATGATAGAAATTAGCATTTGTCTATATTTCTGAGATGAGGTGTTATGTACACTATTTACATTATTCGGACTATTGTCCTCATCTTTGTTGTCGGTCTTCTTCGGGTGGTTAGAATGTCGAACTGAACCCTTTATTTCGCTTGTTGGTAGTTCTACGTGCCAGGTGTAATGGATGTCAGTTATCTCCTGTTAATTCCCCTATTCAAGTTCTCCACTACCGTAACCAGGTATTGAACTCACACTGGGTCCTGTCACTGGGTCTAACTAACGACTTTATCCACTGTGCCATGTATCCTTGAGGACATCTGTATATGTAATTTAAGGGTATTATAAACCTAATGTCTCTAGCAACCATTTTTTTACCAGTGCTCATATTGCAATTTTTGCTGTTATCATTGCATGTTTTTTACCAGAGCTCATACTGTAAGTTTCGTTGTTATTATCGCTTTTCTCTGGCACTCCTTATTACTGGTTCCCATATTGTATTCATTTCTGTGCTTGGTCGGCATATGATTTAAACCTGTGGGATCAAGTATAAATCGTAGACAAAGGACATCATTGGAAAATTCGTAAACTTAAGGAATCAGCACATATGCTGGGCCACAAAAATCTCCTGAGCCCACAAAAAAAAACATTGTCTTATTTATATTTCACGCTTAGGTAGACGTTTATTTGCTGTTTGTCTTTTAACAAATCCCTTGTTACTACATCTGTGGAGTTTTTGAGATATCAATATGCCTAATTCTTCCAAATACCCTCTTGGATCCACTGTTGTGTGTATGCGTGTGTGTATAAAATATACGCTTATATTTGTATGTATGTAAAAATGTAATCATTAATATAGATGTGTGTGTGTTAGTGTGAATCAGTTCTTGATATGAATGATCTCATAAAAACAAAAATAGGTAAATCTCGTCTTTTGAACTTCTTTGAACGTGTGTTTTTGTGTAAGTGTGTGTTGTTTTCCAGATCAGTAATCTTCTTCGACTATAAAGGTCATTCATCTAACCTCACCAGAATACTGGTGAAGCCAGACACTACTAAAAGGAAGGAAGTACTTTATTATAAAACCATCCTCAAAAAGGAAAGCAAAACAAAAAGCCAAAACAAAAAAAAAAAACGAATAGCTCTTTACACATCATTCGAAGAAGCATCCAACTAACAACGAGGTTAACTTCTAACGCTTATTGACTACTGACTAACACCTACTGGCGCAATCACGCTTACGTATGTAATTTTCAATTTCTTGAATCTTTCGCAATTACATCATTTTTTCTCTTTTCTCTTTTCATAGATTATAGTCAACATTTTACATTCTTTTTCATGCATTTCTCATGAATATACAAATTAAAAATATAGATTCATGACTGAACATATTCTTCTTTATAAATGCCATAGGAGATCGAGGAGAAGGGACTAAGCATAAACTGCAAGAAGACAGAATGCATGGTCATCAGTAAGAGGATGAGCCCAAAATACAAATTACAGATCGTGATTACTAAAATCGCGCAGGTACAGAAATTTAAATATCAGCGGAAGGAAAGTGCGACACTGAAATCCGAAGACATAATGGAATGGCATTTCAAAGGCTAAGCAGAGTATTAAGAGACAGGAAGATTTCGCTGGAAACAAAGAAAAGTGTACTGAACTGTTATGTGATATCTGTCCTCCTGTATATGGCAGCGAATGTTGGACAATCTTCTCAAAGATGAAGAAGAGACTCGAAACAACAGAAATGTGGTTCAACAGAAGGATGCTAAGGATAACATGGGCCGAACATGTGAGCAACAACGAGGTTTTGGAGAAAATGGAAACAAAAAGGAAACTTATACTTAACATTAGAAAGAGGTAGTTGAAATTTCTGGGGCATGTAATAAGGACAGGAGGACTTGGAAAACCGTGATACTCACAGAAAAGATTGACGGAAAGACGAAAGCAATGCGTAAGATACTTAATGAGCTTGAGTAAATGGATGGTAGAACAGGGTTTTGGAGAAATAACAAAAAGATAAGAGCTAAAAAATGACAGGAAGATGTGGAGTGAAAAGGAAAACATTGATCTAGCCGTCCATCAATTTACATGTGACGAATGTGGCAGGGTATGTCTCTCTAGTGAAAGCCTCGTTAGCAGAACAAGAGGAGTCATATTGGTAGACCTTTGACAAATCATGCTTGGTATTGCTTAACAAATTGTGTCATAAGGACTGTCGAAACCACTCCGGCATCACTCGTCATCTGATCACTCATGAGCACCCTGAACAGAATTTACAAAAAAGGCCAAGTCCTATACAGGACAACTTACTTTGTCGTGTCTGCAATAAGCATTACAAGTCATTGACTTCAAGAACCATTGAGAACTGTATCAAACTTGTTGGCGTTTAAAGAGTCGATGGCCATCATATCTATCTATCTATCTATCTATCTATCTATCTATCTATCTATCTATCTATCTATCTATCTATCTGTGTCTCTACATACACTCATTATCTATCTATCTATCTATCTATCTATCTATCTATCTATCTATCTATCCGTAGTTTCGTATCCAAACGTAAAGAAAGAGAATTTTCTAATATGATTTATCGATATTTCCGTCTGGTAGGTGAAAATAAATGAATATACTGTTTAATATATAAACGGAGCTGTTACTCAAATACGAGTATCCATTAATAATTACTTTTAAAATCGTACGTATCTATGTATATATCTATCTATATATCTATCTTTTTTAAAAAAATCATTTCACCCTAAGCAAAGCCACTAAGACGCAAAGGATTACTGATTGTGAAAGAAAATGAGAAAAAGAAAACATTATTAAGGAGAGAGCATAGTAAAAGAGCAGGAATTATGAAGACAGAAGATAAAAGTTGACAGTGCATTTAAATTATGAAGATTAAAGTTGAACATAAGACAAGAAGCCGGTAGAAACTTCTACAAACGAGAGGTGTGAGAAAAAAACTGTTAGCATAGAACTTACGGTTACATCTAGCAATTGCAAATGTAAAATGATGAAACTTATTTGCCAACCTCGTATTACGCTCAAATTTGTAAAGTCGGGTTACCAAAGAGAAAAGCAGTATTTATTTAGAGAATACAAAAATGTGGCACAAGGCCAAAAGGGGGCATAGGGGAAGGCTGGTCTTCAATTTGTCTTATCTTAAACTTAGTAGCCACAATTACTGACCCAAGAATACCACAGTATTCCTTTCATCAAAACAACACATTCTTATTTATCATTCTTACTACAGACACCATAATGCCACAACGTCTCTATGAAGTCCTAACTAGTTCCCATATGTCTAATTTGTCTGGGGGTTTGGGGAATAAAATAACAACTTAAAAAAAGAGGAAAGCTCATCAGAACAATTGTCCTGAAATACTTATAGAAAATGCACAGGGTAGCTACGTTATAGTAGTGGTAAAGTGACTGAAGCCGAGATAACATTGCAGATTCTTGTTTGGATTTTATCAAGAATCTGTAAATACATAGCAGAAGCACTAGACGAGATGTGACAGCAATATTCAATGCATGGACGAATAGTAGACTTATAAATGTTTAAGATAGATTCTAGCGAGAAAAATTGCCCAGCATGTCACAGTGAACTAACTTTCCTAACAGCAGACATTGTCAATCTTTCGGCTTCTCTTTCCCTTATTTTTTTCTTATTTATCTCTGCCAACGATTACTTTTATAGCGATCTAATTTGTCTGTCTAGCTTTGATGGTATTATGATATAGACATTAATATCTCCTATGATCTTTCGTATGAAATCTGGCAAAAATAAGATTTGGAAAAAATGTTTATGACTACTTAAATCAAAAGACAATTATTGTATGAAAGGCGTGAAAACCGACTGAAATTCTACCCTTCTGATGACAATGTACGAAGCCCGTCTCTTATCTCGCTCAGAGCATTAAATTTCGTTTTACCCTTGCCAGAATTCATTTACCTTAGCATATTCTATCAGAATATTTAAGAAGTTTGGTATTCCTTCAAATAAACTGACTCAGATAAAAGTGAGCTTTTATTTTATTTTATTTTTTTTTTTTTTGACTATTTTATGGTGGATCAAGAATTGTCAGCCTTGACATGAAGAAGCAGTCGAAATCAGAAATGTTTACAACGCGTGGGTCGTAAACAATTACGTAAAAATGTGATAAGTGCATCAGATCTGATACTTCTGACTTGATACTTGTTTGCCAGTCGGATGCTAGTCTGGAGGAACATCTATCTATCTATCTATATAAATTCATCTGCTTTTTTATATCTATCTATCTATCTATCTATCTATCTATCTATCTATCTCAGTCTGTTCATATAAATTTATCTGCTTTTTCATATCTATCTATCTATCTATCTATCTATCTATCTATCTCAGTCTATTCATATAAATGTATCTGCTTTTTCATATCTATCTATCTGTCTATCTCAGTTTGTGCATATAAATGTATTTACCTGTTCATATGTATCTAGCTTAGTCTATTCATATTAAGTTCTCTGATTTTCATATCTATCTATCTATCTATCTATCTATCTATCTATCTATCTATCTCAGTCTGTTCATATAAATTTATCTGCTTTTTCATATCTATCTATCTATCTATCTATCTATCTATCTATCTATCTATCTATCTCAGTCTGTGCATATAAATGTATCTGTCTTTTCATATATATATCTATCTCAGTCGGATTATATTAAGTTCTCTGCTTTCTATCGATCTATCAAAATATCGATGTCACTCTATGCATATAAATGTATCTACCTTTCATATATATCTATCTCAGTCTGTTCATATTAAGTTCTCTGCTTTTTTTATATCTATCTATCTATCTATCTATCTATCTATCACATGTAATTATAGGCTTACAGTCATATCACGTTGAAAAACCAGTTCTCGTATGATCACTGAAGTTAAGCAACGTCAAGCCTAGACAGTTCCTATGTGGGTGATCGCTTGGAAATACAAGGTACTGTAAATTTCGATGTGCAGATGGTGTAATATATAACGGCTCGGAATTGGAGTTTGACGATCTGAGTTCCATTTCCAGTCGGATTCGTTATATTCACTTACGCGCAAATGCCTATGGGAAAAAGTATGAATTCATCTCTTCTGCTCCAGCTATTAGTTAATTAGTAGGGTTTGTATCAGTAAATCATAATTATCTACAAAAAGATTTTCCAATCTAAACATATTCTCTGGCTTTAAATAACCTGCAAAAGGTTGATAAGATGTAAAATCCTACCACTCTATTAATCAAACAAACTCATACACAACATGTAAAGACGTCCGAGTGTGACGATAAACTACATCCGTGTCCTGGGTAAGACGATAAACTACGTCCAACAGCAAGGCCTCTGATCAGGAGGTTTTGAGAAGCGTGGAACCACCTCTTAATTGCTGGTGTTCCCAGGTGCACCCTGACCCGGGTGGTAGTACTTGTTAGGGTCCCAGCTATGGGCAAATAGGTGACCCCCAAACTGGGGTCAAAACACATGAAGGTGTAAAAATTAGGTTTTAATACCAGAAATACTTCGTAAAAAATTATTACCAGCAATGCATTTTTGAAAAAAGAAATATTGCCAGCAATAAAAATTGTCGGCATTAAATAACACATTGAGGTTGATATACCGTAAACCAAACCAAACAACAAGTAAACAAGTAATTTTGTAGTTAAATTAAATACGAAGATTATTGGTGCAGGTTCAAGTCTAATCAGAGATTACTTCTTTATTTTCAATGCACGCTGTTTTAACGGTCATGGAATTTATCGACTGAGAGACTTCTGATAAAATGTAACAAAATGATGAAAGAAAAAGAATTCCTTTTGGAATAATAGCTTTGTTCTGTTTAAATATTAGAAATCTTTTAAATATAAAACATTTAATTCAAGAGAATAAAGGATAAAAATGTATAAAGGCTGATAGTTAAGCATAGGTTGTTGATTTTATAGGTATTTGTTGATATTACTTCAATATTTCAACAACAATTTCAAGCATGGCGTCACAAAATAAAACGTTTTTTTTTATTTTAAATTCCTGCTTCTATATATTTTATTTTATCTTCTCACAAAATGAATATTTGCGGAGTGGTCGATTATCCAACTGTAAACATTTTTTGTTTTGATTTTAAATATACAACTTATATTTTTATATTCCGTTTCACCTGTACTTATTTTCTGTACGGATACCTATAGACATTTCGCATATTCTTCCTCTATGTGACGTGACTCTTCAGGACGTGGGCAATCGTGGATCTCCACTATTTCTAGTCTTTTGTAGATTTTTTTTTATCTTTTTGTTCTCTATCTCCCAATCCTCGCTTTTCACAAGCTCTTCACATAGCTTATATCCTGCCCTTCCTCAACCCTTTCTTGCTTTCAATATGTCATGTGATTGTAAAAGCTAATGTTTTGAAATACATGTTTGAAAATTAATGCTAGCAATGACTTTAAACAAAGAATACAGTTCAGCTCAATAGCATTGTCATTACTTGAGGGCAAATTTAGTCTTCTGTTTTGTTTTCAGTTTCCGCAAAAAGACTTGTATATACATCAGGAATACACTTCAGAAAGCCGTGAATCTTGTGTGGCAACCAATCCAGGAGAACAACTCAAAACCGTAAAGAAAGCAACAACAATTTAATCCGTTATTTTCCCACGATCAATCATAAGTATTAAAGTAAAGGAAAATGTGGAGATTCATGATCGCTTATGTCCTGAAGGGATATGATATCAAAAGAAAGTACAGAAGCAGTGTGTGTGTGTGTGTGTGTGTGTGTGTGTGTGTGTGTGTGTGTGTGTGTGTGTGTGTGTGTGTGCGTGTGCATAAAAAGTTTTATTCTTTTCCTCAATTTTTTTTTTCCTGTCATACTCGATGAAAACCACGATCTTAGCATTCAGTCTTGGGCTAACTCTAGTTCAGATAACGTGACATTCAATGACACCCCCCCCAAAAAAAACACATAATGATATTAAGTTGTAATTATTTCCCCTGGCTCCTACACTATCTATTTCCTATTCATTTACCATATCTTCTTGCTTTGATGTCTTGGTTTTAATTGGACAATCTTAATAACATCGATAAAGAAACAGCATGGCCTTCACTGAAAGGGGAAATGAATAAAACTAAACGTTACGACAGAGAAAGGAACAAGGCTGAGAAGGACGCATTTTGGTGGAGGAAAGCTTTCTTAAAAAAAAAAGTGATCTTGTTTACATGGAAGGCCAAAAACATTAAGTAGCAACAGATAGAGTCTTAATTGGCAGTATTGGTTAACACATACATGTCATTGGATGTAACTGTCAAAGAAAGTCTTTCTTTTAAATTAATCGCTTTGAGATGTTATCTTTTTTATAGCAAAGCGATATCAAATGCAGATTTGTTTAATTAGCTTTTAATATATCACAATCACGAAGAGATTAAGCACGTCTTGTATCTTTCTTTTTATGTGCAATGTCCTTTCAGGGCGTAGGCGATCATGGCTCTCCACCTCCTTCTGTCCCTTGCAACTCTCAGCAAGCTCCTTCCCTCTGTTTCCTTTCCCAGACCACGTTCTGTCATCCACCTTGCTCAAGCTCGTTGGCTAACAACTCAGATTATGCGTCTTGTACAGTGTTCTTAATATACGTTCGATATTTACTAGGTCTCTTCACCGTTATGTGCTATTATTAGTCTAAGCTGATATCTATCAGATATTTGTGAGTATAAGTCAGGGATTACAGTGGTTGATTTTTATCTAAATGATCCGTGGTATCCAGTTGCTATATGCGTGTTATTCATAGAAAACATTTAAATATATTTTGGCAATAGTGTCATAAAATCTGAAAGTTATGTAAAGAAAAAAAAAGACAGTTGCAGAGTTGGTGGTTTCTTGCGATCAACGGCCACGTATCCGTGACCAAAGGCGATCCTTCAAGTTAGAGGTTATTGGTTATCATTTTACCCGGAGTGGCATGAAAATCACCAGGTCTTCTTGCACAAGACATACTACTCATAAATGAATGCCGCCACGGCTTTTAAACCAGCTCTATAAAGGGAAGAGGTGAATTAGTTGCTCAGCAAACCTGCAACCACACCAGGTCATGTGGCTGATGACAATGGTTTATATATATATATATATATATATATATATATATATAGAGAGAGAGAGAGAGAGAGAAACAACTTTTCTACAAAACTCTGTGATTAATTTCTCCTCCTTGTTTACTACATTTAGTCATCAGTCAATCTTTTTTCAGAATTTTAACGATTTTTTAACCATTCCACACCGACGGAGTATGACATGCAATCTTTTTTTTAGTGTGGAGTTATCCAAAATGGCATACGACTCAAAATGATAATTCATGCTGAGCCCTTTAGTAATTTCATTGTTCTATTAACTACTGCGGAAAACAAGATGGTATATGTTTGAACCTTTGAAAAGCTATTTTTTGTTGGACGCAATCTTTCATTTGTTTGTTGGTTTTCACTTCGAGGCTGGAAAACTGTTATTCTCTGAGATTGCAAATAGAGTTCAGGAAGTTTTAAAAAAGAGAAAAGTAACTCAAATCTTGTTGTATTTAGAGAATCTCTATTTTACACCACTTACGACTGACATCACTCTCTACTTACAATCTTTCACCCACGTTCAGACATTTATAAAGGACATGAAGTTTGTTTTCTCTTCTGGTTTTCTTTGTTTATTTCTTTTGTATTATTTCTCTACCTTTCGTTTATGTTTTCATTTTCTTTCATTGTTTTACTTCAACTTTTCTTTCTTTCTTTCTTTGCGTTCTATCGTCTTGTTTTTCTTTCTTTCTTTGATTCCCATTTCTTCTTTTATTAATTCACTTAATTTCTGTTTTCCATTCTTTGATTTTTATAATTCTTTCTTTCTTTCTTTGATATGTATTTTTTTCCCTTTTTATCTGTTTGGTTTTTCTTTTCTTTTTTTTTAATGCGTACTTCTTCAATTCTGTTGCACCCTTTCTTTCTTTGAATTCTATTTTCTTCTTTTCTTTCTTAAGTTCTACATATTAGAATATATATATTCTTTCTTAAGTTCTACATATTAGAATATATATATACATATCTTAAGTTTTATATTCTTTCTTCGGCTTCCATTCCTTTCTTCATATTAGTTTTCATTCAAACTGTTTTTATTAAAATATTCCTTTTATTCTTAAACACGTAAGCTATAACTTAATAAATGAAGTGATTTCTTATTTGGTATTAGTAAATTATTATGTTAATTTGGTTTGTTAATTATTCTGGAGGCTTATGCAAGGAATTTGTATTATTAATATTCTCTTTCAAATAATAATTAACAACAAATTATAACTATTGCTATTATCATTTTTGTTGTTTTAGCATTCTAAGTTGAGTCATAGTATGCTGTGAAGTAAATAACCCCCACTCCCGGTAACACAAATGAACTAAGCAAGACGCCTTAAATAAAGAACTCCAAGTGAGTCAGTCGCAGTCAGTCCCAGGCTCGCGACAAGACAAGACCAGACCTTACCTCTGTCTTCTAGAAGAGGGTGACAAGACCTCCGTCTTCCAGCAGAGTATGACTCAGTCGGACTCTGCCTTCGGATAGAGACTCGGCTGAGAAAATAGATCAGTACTGTACCCGAGCCTGCTTTTGCGGTTGCTGTGTAAATTTTGACCAATGGCCCGGGTGGAAACACTCGGGTTCCCCACATAAAACTTGACATTGTGTCACAACTAGTCCGCAGTGGGGTAACCGGTAAATACCAGTCAGTTTCAGGCTCGCGACATGACATGACAAGACCTCTGTCTTCGGGCGGATAGTGATACAGTCGGGGTTATGTCTTCGGATAGAGACTCGGCTGAGAAAAACAAACAAGTACTATCCCCGAGCCCACTTTTGCGGGGGCTTGGTAAATTTTAACCAGTGGCCCAAGTGGAAACGCTAGGGTTCCCCACAGTAAACTTGACCTTGTGTCGCATCTAGTTCGCAGTGGGGGGACCGGTAAATACCAGTCTGGACCGCGATTGCCAAGTTCTGTGTCTTTGGGCAGAGTACGACTCAGTCGGGGCTCTGTCTACGAATCCACTGACAGGACCCACAGATTGTGAGTTCAATACCCGGCTAAGGCAATGGAGAACTTTCAAAGGGAAATTAACAGGATCTAACTAACGCCTTTATCCACTGTGCCATGTGTCCTTGAGAAGATAACTGATAACTGACATCCATTAAACATGGCACGTGGAACTAGAACAGTCTACCCCAGTGAGCGAAATAAAGTGTTCAGTTCGACATTCCAACCACCTGAAGAAGTCCGGAGCGTACAACGGCCGAAACGTTGTAATAGATATGGCGACAAAGATGAGGACAATAGTCCGAATAATGTAAATAATGTACTGTTTAACCTCTTTACGAATTTTACACGTTTCTCTTTAGACCAACGGCTACAATGCTTTTTATAGTTACTCATGAGTTGCTAAGATTGAAAAAGGCGCAATCGATTGGAAATCAGTGTTCCAACTTAACTGAACTGTTTACTTATCACTTAATAACAAAATATTTCAACAGCAAGTTGTCAGTTAACAGCTATTCAAGAAACAAATAGACAAGATAAAGCATATTGAGTCACGCCAGGGGAAGTGATGAACGCGTGTCGCAACTTGTTTATGTTATCCAGCTTTTTTTATAAACCACGAGGTAAACAAACTTTTTTAAATCACATTTTCTTCCGGTTTCCTCGTAGAATATTTGCCGCCATTGTACCTTCTGGTTTCCCTCCAGTAATATGCTGGTTACATTGCATTAAAAAATCTCTAAATTCATATCTTGTATAATGTTTTTTTTTTCTTTTTATATTAATAATTTTAACCTTGGTTTTAATTTGATCGCCAAAGCTTAACTTGACTCGCCTATCGGAATAATCTGCCTTTCATGAAACATTCCCTGTCATAACATTTTTGTGGTTTGGACATAAATCGTTTTTCGTAATCGGTAACTTATAACTCTGGAGTACATAGTTATAAGCTACTCTTGACTTCTTTTCTTCTTCTATGTACCGTGTCCCTTAAGGACGTTGGCGAACATGGCTCTCCACAATTTCCTATACTTTGTAACTCTTAATAAATTTTGTCGTTTTGTTATCTCTCCTAAACCATGTTCCGCCATCCATTTACTCAGGCTCGCTAGGTAAGTGATTAGTTGTTTTCTTTTGTTTCCCTTGACTTCGATTTTTCCTGTGAGTATCAAATTTTCCAAGTTCGCTTTCCTCATTATGTGCCCTAGAAATTTCAACTGTCTCTTCCTGGGGAGTAGATAGGTTCTGCTATCATCCAGTTTACACACCTCCCTGGTATTTTGAACAGGAGTATAGGTTTATCCCTTGTTATATATCCCTTGTAAGATTGGGTTTTTGGTTCCTTCTAAAATCTACTTCATCTCTATATTCCTGAGGCTTGTCTTTTCTTACGTCAATATAACTCCACGCAGTAACTCTCTACTTTGACAGGCTCTTGGGCTTTGTATTTGGTGAACATTATTAAAAAAAAAAAAGTGACCGTTTTGTTTTCATTTTCTCTAAAGTTTTGTCGTTGCTCACATGGAGAAAGAAAACTGATTTCAAACAAAGAATCCATATATGCATCAATTTACTTGAAACTACAGTGTCTGAGTGAAGACAATCCTTACCACAGAAATCAACAATAATCTTTTTTTTTTTTTGTATTTAAAACTAGTAAATATTCACACACTAACAAAATATGCTGGCATATTTTTGTTTAATGTAATGGCTTCCTTCTCGCATACAGTTTGGCATTGTTACCAGAACAGTTTCCATTATATTAACGTATAGCTTCAAAGCCTTTCTGTTGTGACCTTTAAGATGGCCTACAGAGAGCCTTCCGCCAGCGCTGAAGATTATCTACGCATTGAGGCGTAATAAGAATAGTTTTGTTTTACAGAGATGAGGTTATTAAATAAAGGTGGCGATGCTTACTAGAACGTAAATTATTGACTGACCGGACAGCATTCCAAGTGTTGAAAAATGATTTAAGTTAGTCTCGTTCGTCTTGAAAGGAAAAATAGAATTGATGAATATAAAGACGTCGTCCATAATTGAAGATAGATATTACATGGAGGTTATAAAGTATTTGTGTGCAGTAAGATAACTGGATAGGAGCCCATTATTAAAAAGTAACACTTTATTACATAAATGAGCAAAATCGTTCGTAACTAACAGATACCGCTACTATGTATGCGCATGTTAGTATCAATCTCAATTTGTTCGTATATATGTATATATGCAGTAATATGGGCGTGTGGCCGACTGGTTACAACCTTTACTTTCCAACCGGGTTCGAATCTCATCATGGTTGATTTTTTTAGGAAGGCGACTACTTGATGTTATCGACGTGGGGAAGCGATTCACTGATGCGATTCATTTGAAACGTGCCTGAAAACCACATCACTGAGTGACTCATGCCTTCTGTGTTAAATTGGGGAGATGATTGGTGAGCTGTCGATGTTTGTGCTAGCACAAAGTTACAAGTCATCATGACTGAGGGTTTGAGCGTACTGTTAAGATTTGATCGTGCCAGATAATGCGCTCTCTCTCAAGACTAGGCTCCGCATAGTTGCAGTATAAACCACAGTTAAGTTCTGTGGATATTGAACAAGCTCAAATGTGCCTGAGAAGACGTCTGCAATAGGAACTGGCTAGCTTCTCTAGTAGATAGGCATACATGTAGCGGGCAGTAATTATGTAGTAATGTATATATCAGACCCCGCTACGAGTTCTACTGGTAACATGTATCTCAGCATAGGTTATCAGCAACTAAACCAGGTTTTTCTTGTGAGATGGATGGCTAGGCACAATGCTAAACAAGATAAGACATGACATAGGGCGAACGAACTTTCTTGTAGAGTCAACGACCATTTAGCATACAGACCACTGGGAGTGTTGAACGCTTTAGACTTTGTTAAAGTATTCAACTCAGAGAGAATATTCTTATTTATCACCTAAGGGTTCGCCAGCAACTGGTGATACTGACTTGCTTTTCTTTCCGGGTTATTGCTTTTAATGCTCCGAGAATGGGTTTAACTATTGTAATATTTTACTTGGTGATACATAGGCTGACCGTCGCCTAAAAAGGCAACCAATTAAATAATGACTTACAACGTTATTCATACAAATGCTCTGAAACCGTTTCAGATCAATTGTTGGTTACTGCGCAAATGCAAAAATGAAATTCATGCATTTAGGACATTAGACAAAATATTGACTTGAAAAAAGCCATAGTCAATCACAGCACTGTTGAAAGGGTATTCGTGTTATACGATGATCATACTCGATTTCTAGCTGGCTGACATCATGTATGTATGTGTATATATGTGTATGTATGGGCGCGTGGCCTAGTGGTTAGAAGGTTCGTTTTCTGACCATGGGACCATGGTTGATTTGTCTTCCGGATGTAATCGGAATGAATTCAGGTCGATCCCAGCGTGCGGCACCTTTGAAAAATGCGACGTGAACCAAGCCATGTGAGTGAAATTGGGTAGACAGAACGCTTGATGGCCGTCGATAGTTGTATCGAGGGCTTGAGCGTGCTGGGCTTGTTCAAATTGTCGATCACGCTAGATAATACGCTCTTTCCCAGAAACTCTAACTAAGGTCTGCTCAGCATAGTTGGTGGGTATTGAGCAAACACATGTTCCTGAGCGAGCGTCTGTAATCGAGATTGGCTAACTGAATACGAGTGGCCAGCTATTATTATTATTATTATTATTATTATTATTATTTATTATTTATTTATTTATTTATGTATCTATCTTACTTCATAAAACTTTAAACTATTTGAGCTGTTATATCAGACGAGTCTGTCTGGCTATCTGTTTATTTATCTATATAGCTATCTTCATAAAGCTCTGAACTATTTGATCTGTTGATATCAGACGAGTCTATTCTGTTCCATTTCTCTCTCTATCGATCTATCTCATTCACCTTATAAATTTTAAAATGTTATCTGTTTATATGTATATTCTGTTCTATCTATCTATCTATCTATCTATCTATCTATCACATTCTATTCATTTTAATCTAATTCATTATCTTCATATATATATTTTGTCTCTATCTTCATATGCAACAAACTAGCTCTTTCATTCTGTCTTTATTTATCTACCAAACAGGAAAAAAACTTTCTTACCGAACCGAACATGAATTTTACATTAACTTATCTTAGTGTAAATTTTCCATAAAAACTTTAATGTGGTGTCGACACAAGATGCGGACGTCTACTTTTCACAATGCACATAAATGCCCACAAATAAGTAAAGTTAGGCATGCACTTTAACACTTTCATTTTATTTGTATATTTCTTACCAGAGAAAAATATTCGAATGATGGGAAAAATGGAGAGAGAGAGAGAGTGAGAGAGAAAAAGAGAGAGGGGGGAATACTGAGGTGACGTTACGTTAGATTAGGTATGTATAATCGATTTGTTTTAGAAAGCAACTTAAGATTTTGATCAAGACTGGGTTGCTTAATTTTGGCGCAAGTTCCTCAAATTCTCACTTGAAGTGTTATGCTTGGATTTAATAAATAGTAAAGAAAAACATTTAAATTTAATCAAACCAGTAGAATTGTTAGACTTCTTAAATATAAAATAATTTATTTAGTAATTTTATGTTTTAACTGTTTCTTTTTTAGTTACTTAAGCTAAATTGACGTTAGTCGTGGAATTGCTTAAGATTGAGATCAAATGTGAGTACAGTTATTTATAAAAGAAATAATGAAAGAGTAGAGTTCTCTCTTAATATCCCACCCAAATCTGTTCTGTCATATGAGCAGATAAGAGACAAAACGCGACACTCGAAAACACTTTCCACTTTGTCATACATCTTTCCTCTCAAAACTATTCTTGATGTATAAAAAATTATATACTGTTATCCCATATATATATATATATATATATATATATATATATATATATATATATATATATATACACTGGACTTTCCCGTCGTTTTCGACGTATGAGGGTAAAGCAACTCAGTTCCTAGGAACCGACAGCCAAACACCAGCACATATGATTTGATTATAGTGGTGATGGCTTTGTGCAGAACCAACCACACTCTTTGTAGAGCTGAATACAGAGACCTGGTACCACAAGGCCTCAAACGCAGACCAGTTGCCGTCCAAAGCTATAGAACCCAATCTGTATACCCATAGCTAGTGGGAGAAGAAGTGGATTCATTAGCACGTAAATGTAATGGATTCGACTGGATTCCTCAATATGAACCGCTATCCATTACTCCGCTGTTATATACTCTCCTGCTTGCATGGCAAGTGAAGTGTCCTGTTGTCAGGCATGGGGTCTTCCAACAGCCACCTTCTTAATCAAGGGCAGCACATAATGTAGGCCTTCGTGTTGAGTCCGAGAGCCTGTGGCAAGATGAATGGAGGTATAACTTCTCCATCACTATTGACCAATCTAAACACCACCGGAATCACCATTAGATTCATCCATCTCTTTCTGAATCCTCTGCACTGTCCTCAGATTGACACTCAGACACTCTGAAATTTTCGTATTGGAGCTTCCGGCGCGAATGCCAAGCGGTACAGCTACCGTTTCTAAATTTCTGGCGGAATGAATTGCGTCATGATATTCTTTTTCTCGCAGACAGTGCCCAACTGACACCATTATACTGTGCTGTCGACAAAATCGAAAACTAACACAAAATATAAAATGGCGACAATGTGTAGTTGTATATATTTATTTATTAGAAATGGATAAATGTAGGAGGAAAGAAAAATCTTGTAAAACTAATAAAACCATAGAAGAATTATTTTACTAAATTTGTTCAGTATTTTATTACTGGGATGAGTAATTGTCTGTGTCTCTTGTATTATTTCGAACTAATGTTCTCGTCTTTGTTGATATAAATGTTATTATAGTCATTTACTGTTTTAATAAGTAATACTAGAATATTAAGTTTATTCAGATATCGTGCAGTTCCAGCATTGATATAAAGATTCATCGAAATATTGACAAAAATTCAAATAAAATATAAACGCAGGGTAAATTCGATTCCTGTCGGACAGATATTTTCTTTGAGATTTCTTAGACATTAAGGCCAGTAAATGTTGTCAATACTGTTTATTATAAACAGAGCATTTATTTAAACATTTGTATCTATAAAAATAACGTATAAACAAAAATATATTAAAATAATTATCGGACTTTGTCCATTTCATAATATATTATGTTATTTATTTGCGTTAAGATACCCTTTGAGCAGTTATGAGCTTTGATGAAACCTTCTCTATTTTTGATTCCATCAACGATGCTGAAGCCTTTCATACCAAACTTAATTTCCTTCATTCATCCCTTCAATTTACCGTGGAAGTGGAAGATTGTTGTACTTTGCCTTTTTTGGACGTACTGGTTGAACAACGCAAAGGTGGTTTCTTCATTACCACTGCTTATCGGAAACCTACATTCACAGGTCAAAACACAAACGGGAATTCTTTTGTTCCTAAATTTCGTAGTTTGGTGCATCGCGCGTTCATGATTTCTTCTCCCTGTCGATTCGATCAAGAATTGGAGAACATTCTTCGTGTTTTTCATGACAATGGTTATCCTTTTAATTTCATTAAACGCGTTGTTGAGCGAAATCTTAAATGTTTTGAAGAACTGGTAGTGTTTAGTCCCAACCTGTGCCTCTTTTATTTAAAATTACCGCGGTTTAGTAGGAAAAGTCAAACACTGACTGAGAGAGTGTCGGTTTGTGTTACATCAGGTTTTTCTACTGCCAGATTGCGTGTTATTTATGGAACTAATTCGGTGTTTCCTTCTTTTTACAAAGATGGTTTGTCCTATTTTCAAAATTTCTATCAGACATAAATTCAAATGTCAGTGTGAAGCTGAATACATAATGTGAACCAATCAACGACTAGAAATTCAAATTGGTCAACATTTTAATGCCAGTACAAAATTAAGCAGTTCGAGTCACTTTTTGAAAGTATCTGTCTTTGCGTATCTGTCTAACTTATATATTATTTCGTCAGATTCTCACCAAACTTTCTATTTGTCCGTCTGTCTGACTCACATACAAGGATCAAAGCACATATATAATGTATGTATGTATAGGTGAGTGGTTAGAAGGTTCACTTTCCGATCATGAGAGCCGAGTTCGAATCTCATCATGTTCGATTTGTCATCTGGTGAGGCAATCCCAGCGTGCAGCACCTTTGAAACCATAACACGAACTGATCGAGCAAGTGAAATTGAGTGGCCGGAACTTTACGGAAGTCGTCTCTGGTATTGCTAGCAGGTAGTCAATCGTGACTGAGAGTTTGATCATACTAGCGCTGTTCAAACTGTTCATCATAGCAGATTATTTGCTCTGTCCCAGAAACTGTAACGAAAGTCCTCTCAGTATAGTTGCAGTATAAACTGCAGCTAGGCCCTGTTGGTTTTCAACAAACACTAATGTGCCTTAGCAGGTGTCTGCGACAGGGATTAACTAAACACCCTAACAGGCGGGTGAGCTTGGAAAATGAAAGTAGCCGGTCATGTGTGTATGTAAATTATATGTGCGAGTACTTAGAAGTGCCTGTGTTTAGCCCACAGTGATGGATCAAGCCTTTGATAAGGAAAACCCTGATATAACACTCGACTCACTGATAATCCATATATCAAACATCTGCTTGTCTTTAGGATTCTTAGCATTGTTGTTCAAGCTGTACATAACTATTATCTCATCTCAGGCAGTGCTGCCGTTCTGGGTATGACGATAAACTACATCCGCGTCTTGGGTAAGACAATAAACTACGTCTAACAGCAAGGCCTCTGATCTGGAGCTGTTGAGGAGCGTGGAACCTCCTCTTTATTGCTGGTGTTCTCAGGTCCACCCTGACCCGGGGTGGTAGCACCTGTTAGGGTCCCAGCTATGGGTAAATAGTTAACTCTCAAACTGGAGTCAAAACACTATGATAGAGTAAAAATAGGTTTTAATACCATAAATACTTTGTAAAAAATTATTACCAGCAATACATTGTTGAAAAAAATATTACCAGCTATATATTTAAAAAAAAATTACCAGCAATACATTTTTCAAAAAAAAAATTACCAGCAATAAAAATCTTGTCGGCATTAAATAACACCTTGAGGTTGATATGCAGTAAAACAAAACAAATCAAACCAAACCAGTGCTGACATTTTAACATCTATTGTTGCTCTGTTCTCAGCTATGGATTAAATAGTTGTCTCTTGTGGTTGGCAACCAGTCTAGGAGAAAGACAACGCTGAATTAAAAACTGTAACCATAAATTTAACTTGTCAGCAATAGTCATATTTGTCTAACGTGGCAACAGTCATCATGTATATCAATCAATATATCAGCATTGATTGATTGATTTACTTTTTACAGCTTATCAATTTTTGGAGATAATAATGCTTTTACTGATACAATTATTAACCCATAGCGGAGAGAAGAAGTGGATTCATACCTTTCCCAAAGGTATTTTGAGTGTAAGTAAATATAACGAACCTGTTTGGAATTAGAACTCTTTATCCATTGAACCATCCACACATTCAAGCTTACAGCACCTGGTATTCCCAAGCAGTCACTCGTCTCGGTACTGACCAGACTCGACGTTGCTTAGCTTCAGTGATCGTATGAGAACCGGTGTTTCAACGTGATATGGAAATGTATCAGCGGTTTATGCCGAAAAGGAATCATAAATTTTACATAACAAATATTTTAGTACAATCTCTTTCCTTGTCAATGCACTTAATTCGGTGCTGAATAATAATCATATAAATACAGTGCAAATTTTTCATAAAAGTTTACTTAACCACGTGTCCAGCTATGGATTTATTGATGTACCCTGGTATATCAATGCTGGAATGTTTTTGTTTTTTAGGCATGTGTAAAAAAAATATCGATACTATTGATTATGTATGAATGTCACTTACCTATATCTGGATCATACTCCATTATAAAACGTTTTGTAATGTATTTCACTGTTAGGGCTGAAAAATATGGAAAAATATTTTAGTTTGTTCAAGATGAACTATAATTTGTAAAACTTTCACAATATTCTAAAACATTCTCGGCATTATAAAACAATTTAACACAAATAATATTTTCCCCAGCGACATGAATTGCAGTATAAAATAAAAATAAGCAAAAGTTAATTTCATCTGATTCGTGGACAAAATACGTAATTTATTAGATTAACAATAAGTTTAGAACACTTTTTAAAATATCAAAATCGCTTAAATGCCATCCTAGATGTCCTAGGATCGATATGAACTCGCTTCCTGTTTATAGAATATATAATTATTTTCAAAAGCAATTTCCGATTAGATTGTATTACTGTTAATATTTTTTATTAAAATATCGTTGTTAGTATGCCATTATGGCTGATAGAGGAAAGTGCAGGTGGATTTAAACATCTAATAAATTGGAAGTATTCTCCCTTGGACAAATATTTTTTGCCAATTAATAATAGCTTAATACCACGAGGCCGAGGGTCTAACTTAACTGAAAAGAGTTTTATTCTCCAATTCGGAGCATTTTAGCGTTATCGCTGCATGACGGGAATGAATACAAACACACAAACCTACATAAATCATATCCTTATAATGGTAACGTGTATATTTATTTATTAATTGAATGAGCTGATTGGGGCTTATTTTTATTTCAGTCATCAGTATTATTAACAAATTATTATCATTGTAATTGGCGCAGGATCTAATTTCAAAATATTTGGTCGTTTCTTGTTCGTAAACATTACTTTATATTTGTCCAGTGGTTGAACAACGAATCATCTGTTTTAGACTCTTCTGAATTAATCTTTCACGTTTCATGCATCAAAGTTTGATACACCTTTTTTGCTGATTTTTTCTACGCACAAAATGACAGTAAACATTCTTCCTCTTCTTCTATGTACCGCGTCCCTTCCTGGCTCTCCACAACTTCCTATCTCTTGTGCCTCGTAGCAGCTTTTCTCCCTTTGTTAAGGCTCCCCTACCTGTTACGCCATCCATTTACACAAGCTCGCCGGGTAAGTGGCACGCTTCCTTCTCCTATCTCTCCTGCCTTCAATATGCCTCGTGAGGGTTAAGTTTTTCAAGCCATCTTTCCTCATTATGCATCCAGAAGAATTTCAGCTGAATCTGCCTCATTCTAAATATGTGATCTTTTTGTTGCCATTTGCTTGTTGCTTACTTACTCCGTCCATGGAATTTTCAGTATCCTTCTGTAGAACCACATTTTTACTATCTCTAGTTTTCTCCTCATCAGTGGGGGATTGGCCATCATTCTCTGCCACATGATAATGAATAACACATTGTAATTCAGCATTCTTTTCTTTGTTTCTAGTGATTTTTATCGTTTCTCAGCACTTTGCTTAGCTTTTGGAATGCCGTCCAATGCATGTACGGATTTGGTGTCGCTTTTTCCATCCTCTGTTGAAACAATTCCCAGATATTTAACTTCTGCACGTACTTGATGTTGACATCTTTGTAACTCATATCTGGGGATTTTTTTATCTTGCTGATATTCATACTTTCTGTCTTTTTGTGATTGATGGTTAATCCTTTTTTATCGGTTTCATCTACGACACTTTCTCGGAGGTCCTGTAGTTTTATTTCGGTGCCAGCCTATCTTACAGTGATAAGGTTACGCCCACCGATAATAAATCCTGGAAGTGTCTCCAATTCCCTTAGGACAGCGGAGAAGATGCACCATTGTCTCACGCCCCTTTCTATTTTGTGTAGCTACTTACTTCGTTTTCTATCAGAATGCAGGCAGTTTGCTCCCACTATAAGTTTTAGATAATTCTAATATCTTCCAAATAAATCTTGTTCTAGCAGTCCAAATAAATCCTTTTACCGTATTTTGTCAAATGCTTTTTGTATAATCTATAAAACGTTAGTGCACATCTTTCTGAATTTGTACTGCTCTCTCTCTCTCTCTTTCTCTCTCTCTCTCTCTCTCTCTCTCTCTCTCTCTCTCTCTTTCTCTCTCTCTCTCTTTCTCTCTCTCTCTCTTTTCTCTCTTTCTTTCTCTCTCTCTCTCTCTTTCTCTCTCTCTCTCTTTCTCTCTCTCTCTCTCTCTCTCTGATATCCTTCTAATTATGAATATCGCGTTTTTTGTTCCATTGTCTTTAACAAACTCGTACTGTTCTTGTTCTATTTCTTTCTACTTCGCGCTCTATTTATTAAGATTCGCATCATTAGATTGATTATGTGGCTCATTGAAATGATTGTCCGATGGAGCTCGCATTCATTTACACCTAATCTCTTAGCTAATGTTATGAAGATGGATTTAGTGAGGTCATCCGGTGTGTCATCATCATTGTATATTTCGTTTATCACTAATCTGATCTTCTCGATGTCGAAATCGTTTAAGACTGGAAACATTTTTGTTACGAGCCCATCTGGCCTTGCTAGTTTGTTCTTCTCCATCTACTCCAGCGCTGATCTTACTTCAACTTTTAGTATTTCTGGCCTTACTTTATTTTCAAGCGTAGGCTTTTCTCTCGCATTTTGAAAAAGAAATAGAGAGGGTGAGTAACACAAATACAGGCAGTATGCATAACTGAATAAAATAAAACTAACAGGACGAAAGTTGAGCTAACCAACAGACTCTACCAAATCAAAAGATAAAACCTTGTGAATATTTAGAACCGAAAGTGTAAGAAGTGATTATACCTTTTTCAAGATAGATGCAGTAAAATCATAATCAGAGTCGTCACTACTTTTTCAACATTTGTTCCTTCTTGACTCTTGGTATTTACTAACCTGTTGTGGAGTAAATAAGATATCCTCGGTAACATAAATAAACTAGGCAAGACGCCTTAAATAAAGAACTCAAAGCGAGTCAGTTACAGTCTGTCCCAGGCTTGTGACAAGACAAGACAAGATGAAAAAAAATCCAAGTCAAGTAAGTCCGTTGAAGTCAGGCTTGCGACTGACTTGTCGAAATCTCTGCCTGTAGAGAGGAATCCAGACGCGACTACGATGACGGGTAAAATCTCGTCTGGGAAGGTATACAAACCCGACCCGTGAATGCAGGCTCCACGCGGAAATTTTGCTCGAGCTTAAGGGCTCGGATCCGCCTCACATAAAAAATTGACCTTGTACCACATCCTGCATTGTGGGGAGGTTGGTAAATACTAACCGTTGAAGTCAAGCAGTTCGCTGCCAGGCTCGCGACTGACTTGTCGAAGTCACTGCCTGCAGTAAGGAACCCAGACAAAAACCTGACAGAGTCTCGTCTGGGAAGGTAGACAAACCCGACATATTACAGACAGTCGGCCGTAGTGTCTTATATATATATATTTTAATTTAATTAAAAAAGAAATTTCTTATTTTCATGTTCAGTAATATGGCGATTCTTTCTTTCTTAAGAATCATCGACGTGTTCAACTTTTTTCTATCACTTGATTTTTTTACACTATTTATATCGTTCGGACTCTTGTACTTATTTTTATTGTCATATTCATGACGTTTCGGCCTTCTTCAGGTGATATACGTTGGAATTTAGATCCCATGGCCCAGTGGATAAAAGTGTTGTTTGAGTGATCCAAAAAGTGACTTAAACCAAAGAATTGTGAGTTCAGTACCTGGCCACAGCAGAGGGAACAAAAACATGGAGAGTTGAGTTACTAAAGGGAATTAACTGAAACTGAGATATTCCAAAAAAGGTATAGCACGTAGAATTAGAACACTCTACACCCGTGAACTAAATAAAGAGTTCGGTTCGAAATTCCAACGTATATCAACACCTGAAGGATGCCGCTTTGTACAACTGCCGAAACGTCATGAATATGGCAATAAAGTTGGACAACAGTCCGAACGATGCAACTAGTGTAAATAGTGACAATACTTCAATTCATAAATATAGACAGATATCACTTGATTCTTTTTCTTACTTTTGATTTTACTACATTAGTGACAGAGTATATTATTGTAATACGATGCCAATGACACCCTGTCTGATAAGTATATCATGCACATGCGTCACAACCAAATGTGCGAGATATGGTGATTATTATTATTATTATTGATTGAGTGAGCCGCATGCTATCAGAGAGACGTTGGGGCACAAATGTTCGAAGATCAGTATAACCATCATGACATCCAGTTTGAATGGGTTTACTAAGCAAATGTATGACAGCCGAATATGTGCGATCTGGTGTATTGATATAAATATCACATAATCTTGCAGGTGGGGCCCAATTAAAAATATCTTTATACTAGTCCATTCAGACGGCCACTAATTTGATGTATTTCAATTATCGAGATATGATTCCCAAGTCTCCTTGGCTGCCTCATTTTTCAAAATTAAAAAAGCAATACTCTCCCCTACTACTCTCGATTACGATTAGAGATGTACAGTGTGTCAGTCCCTAGGGCAGGTACCCAACTGGTTAAAATCAGGCAAATAAACGGGACATTTACTTTAGCCCATCTTAATTGACCAAAACAAAATATGTATTTGATAACACATTTAAGACCAGAAACCATGAGAGATATGTCTTTTGTAGCATCAGGATATATATTATTATTATTATTATTATTATTATTAGTAGTAGTAGTAGTAGTAGTAGTAGTAGTTTGTGTGCTTGATTGGTTGCTTTTGTTTAGCGGCACATCAATATCTCTATGGGTTATTTAATACCGAAATCTTGTACGCAATGTTATGCTTTCAACTACAGATAATTTGTATATGATTTTATAGTTCAGAGTAAACATATGTTTTTTTTATAAATATATAGTCTCTAGATGATAAAATCTATTGTTGGTAATTTAAAAAAATGTATTGCTGATAATTTCACTACAAAAATGTATCGTTGGTAATTTTTTTATAAAACTGTATCGCTAGTAATTTTACTAGAAAAATGTATTTTTATAAATTTTAATGTTGTATTGATAGTCATTTTGCTATAAAAATGTATTGTTGGGCATTTTACTTTAGAAATGTATTTTTGGTAATTTTATTATGTGGTTAGTTTTTGTTTGGAAGTTCACTATTTGCCCACAAATGGGACCCCCTAACAGGTGCTACCTCCCCGGATCAAGGTGGACGTGGAAACAACAGCAGTTAAGAGGTTGTTCCATGCTCTCCTGTTTGATGGCTTTGCTGCCGGATGTAGTTTATCGTCATACCCAGGACGCTAATATTATTATTAGTCGTAGTAGTAATAGTAGTATTATATAATGTTTCAGAGTTGATTTATAAATCATAAGTCGGGCACCAACACTTAGTAATTTAAGTAATACTACAAACAGAACGACAAAAATTAATAATCAATCATTATCTTTAAATTTCACGCCTTATAAATTATAAGAGTTCAACAATTGAAGGACAAAATGAAGCTGTTAATATCAGAAAAATATCGATTTCTCTGCAACTATGGTATTGTTAACTTCAATGTTTTCACCATTATTTGATTATAAAGAAAATGCTTATTAGTTATATAGGTTCTATAGCGTGTATGATCTAGAATAAATCATTAATTGTCTCAGCATTTATTTCATCTTGGGCAATAGCCATGTTTATCGTAGCAGAAGCTTTTAGAACTGACTTACAGTCGTTTCCTTCAACTGCTGCGACGCACCACTTATACTGCTTAGACTTGTGTGTTATTTGCCACAGAAACAGCTGTGTTGTAAAATATAAGGGGTTATCTAGATTAAGGTCGGCTATAAATTAAAAAAAAAAAAACTGCATGCTTTCTTTGTTTGTAAGTAGAAGTTGGAAGATGTTGTAATGGTTATCAACTCAGAAAATGTTATGAGCGAACCGAGTTCGAATTCTACTTCAGATTGAATAAATCACTATTAAAACCACCATCACTATCGTCTTATCACTGGTAGACAGAGAATTGATTGATTGATTTGTTTGTTTGTTTAACGGCGTATCAACTCCTCATAGGTCATTTAATGCTGGAATTTAATTTTCTTGAGAGCTTTGAAGTAATAAAAATATGATATATATTATTCTGCTTTCACAAGTGAGTACATGGTATACAATAATCGGTTTTGCGCATATATATGTTTGTGGGGTTATGATTACGAGAGGCGGTGACGAGTGTTTAATGTAGTTTTGTTGAAGTTATATTTTGGAATACAGTTTGCTTTCTTTACGGCATTGTAGGATATTCTATGGATTAATGTCATGAAAGAAATCTTTCATGTTGTTTGTTTGTTTGGTTGGTTGTTTGATTTTATTTAGTGGCATATCAACACCTCTATGAGTTATTTAATGCCGAAATTTAAATATTTTGTACGTAGTTTTATGGCTTCAAATAAATATATTTTGAAGATAATTGTATGCCTTCAACTACTAAATGTATTCTTAGTAATTCTACAAAATTGTATTGATGGTCGTTTTGCTTTAAAATTTAAAACCTGGTCATTTCACTATAAATAGACATTTCAATAAACTTCCAATAAACTTCCAATCTCCCGATCAGAGGCTTTGTTGTTGTTTATCGCCATATCCAGGACTGTAGACAGAGAAAGGAAGCGATAAATGAGTATATACTATGCATTGTCACCTTTGACAAATGAACGCTAATCTTTTATAGATGTACATCTGGTTTGTGTTTATGTATTTGTATGTTTGTGTAAATTTCCCGGCGGAGGTGAGGTGTTGTTACAAAAGTTTGTCCAGAAAATATCAAGACATTTGATAAAAATAGCCAATCTAGTAAAATAGCAACTTAGTCTTCAAAGTATTCCTCTTCGGAACACATACACTCATCCGAACGTTCCTTTCATGTTTCAAAATAGTTTGCAAATTTCCGTTTCGGAACCTACATCAGTTGACCCGTCAATTTCTTCTCGGCCACCGTCTGAATTTTTTTTCTTTTTCAACAGAGATTTTAGCTTTGAAAAGGTCAGAAATTGCAGGGAGTCAAATCTGAACTGTAGGGAGGTGCAGACAGAAGCGGGTGATGCAAAAGGACCTAAAATAACCTACCTGAAATTTGAAGAATCAAATCACTTGGCTGTTGCAAATCTGTACACAAACATACACGATGAAATTTCCCTTTTTTAATACCATACCCCTTCAGAATGTAGACAGTCATGACACCCCACAGAGTCTTCTTTTTTTTTTTTTT